GAGCGGAACCATTGGTGATTGCGGGAGAGATTCATCGCTAAATTGACAATTTCAGCCGTCACCCGTCAAGAGTCGAGTCTGTGTGCGTCTCGACAGAACCATCAATTCGCGATCTCTTGATTGGCGAGGAAACACCGACACCCACCTCCGACTCGTGTCTCGCTATACCCGTCATCCATCACACCTCACCGCAAAGTGCCGCTACTACCCGGACAGTCAGCAAAGGGCCGCACTCCTCACGGCTGTAGTAGTAGTACTTACTGTACCTACCACTCAACAACTCGCAGCTGTAGCCGCGCGCAACTGCAACTTGACCGCGATCCGCGCGCATGCGCCTTGCGTTTGGGTACCTCTTTGTGCTGTGCGCGACAAGACCCCTTGCACGCATCCACATTCGTGGATTGATTGCTAGCCGTTGGATGCCAGCAACTGCCAGCAGCGGCCATAGCGCCCTCTGCCTGTGCCGGACCTGACTTGCGGCTGTTAGCAGGAGCACCGCATCAAGTCAAGTCACAGCAGTCTTGCCAACGCCCCACTCCTCACGGTAGACACACCCACTCATCATCTCGACTTGTCGCTCGCGACACAAGCCACACTCACGGCGCTCTGTACCCGTGACTGCACCCTCAGGCACAGCCCTTCCAACTACCACTCGCGATTCTCCCCCTTCACCATCTTGCTGCGCTGGGCACGCTCAAGTCATCGCGAGGACGGAACAGGGACAGCTGCTCCATCTTCTCTTAGCCGCCCCTTCTGACCGCACCCATCCCTCCCATCAATCCTACAACACTCTCACTGCTACGGACCCGAGACGCACTCGGCAAATTGCCGAACCGCGTCGACTTTGCCTCGCACCTTGCAATGTCAGCAGCAACAGCTACGATGCACACCATCCCGGACATTGGCGGCGGGAGGAATCGACCAACGCCGCCAACTCGAGCAGCTCCTGCTTCGCCTGTTCCTGGTCGTGATCACACATCCGCTACATCCACTAGTCGACCGCAACAACAAACGAGCAAATCACGAGAGCTGGCGCGGGCCATTCGATCTCAGGAGCAGCTGGATGCAGAGGCCACAGCAAGCAGATCTTACAGACCTCCCAGCGCGTGGAGTCAGACGACTGATGCCGCAGACGTCGTTTGGTCTGGTGCTGGCGCCGGTACCATCAATGTCCCACCTCTGCCGAGTCCTGCCTTGAGCAACGGAAGTCAAGATGATCAGGATCGATTCAGTGACGCTGCCAGCTGGGAAGGAGACCACACAACCTCAGCTGCGATCGATACGAGTCGAGACCGATCCATTGCAAGCACTGCTTTCGACCCACGTCAAAGCGTTGCGCCGAGCGAGTTTGATCCAACGGAGGATAGCGGATTTGGCCATGATTCGCGTAGCACGTACGGGCACGCTCGTGCGTCTAGCGTCGCTTCGTCGATGTGGGCCGGAAGAGGCAATAGGGACAATAACGCTGCATCGGGCGAAAGCACCCATGAAAGTGGTTATAATGGTCATTCCCGGCGCAAAGCACCACCACCACCACCCCTGCCAGGCATCACGCCTGCCATGGCACTGCGCGCTCAGATGATGAACGCGCCTGAACCCTCGCCTGGGCTCAACTCGATGCTCAGCAGGTACTCGGAAGAAGAGGATGACGAGCTGCGGTCTCTGAGCGGACCACGGCCTGCCAAGCCTCAGGGACATCGTGCTCAAGACAGCATGGGCCACTCTGCTGTCAGCCCGCTATCTGCGACGTTTAGCCCGCGCCTGCAAGGCGCATCATCACCAGCGCTCAGCGACTTCGAAGATCCCGAGATGACTCAGAACCCCGACACTACAATGAACTCGAGCATGTTTGAGATGATGCCCTCGAACACTTCTCGGGGCAACCAGTCGCCCTCCTCGCGTGCCACGACGGCAAGCTTGGGCTCGGCAACGCAGGACGCCTTACCTCCTAGAGCCATCGCGGAAGCCAACAAAGGACTTCAATCTGTCGTGAAGCCGTCGGCAGATCCGTCCAAATTTGGCGTTCCGCCCCCTGCCCCGCGTCGCCGCAAGGGCCGCAAGGATCGAAGCCCGGTTTTGAGCTACGCC